AAATACCAGACGTGTTATATGTCTAGTATTTTCTCAGGGTTTTTTTTGTGTTTATATATTTGGGCTGCAAAAAGCAGTATTGGGGGGGAAAAAAAAAGGTTCCAACTAAAGTAAAAAGTTTGGGAAACCCTGGTCTAACCAGCTTTCTGTCTGTCTTACAGTCCATTTATCCAATCCATATTCCTTAACTTTCTGGCAAGAATATTGTGGGCGACCATATCAAAAGCTTTGCTAAAGCTGGCACTGGGGGTTTTGGGAGGACCAGAAACAACTTATTTGAATAGTCATCATTTGATTAATGAATATGCAAATATGCAAATGAACATTACTGGTCCTCCAAAAGTTCATGAATGGATTTACTGGTCTCCATGTCAAAGTTTGGGAACCCCTGCACTAAGGGAAGCAACAAAAAAGCTCCCCACACCCAAGCTCATCATTGTGTGTTTGGGGTGGGGTTGTCTGTTTGGGGTTTTTTGTTTTGGTCCGCACGATTGTTGTACAATAGCTATGGCAAACCAAACTGAGCATGAATAAATCAGAAACTGCCACAAGTGGGGCAGGCTGGAGGAGAAATGTCTTGAGGAGATCAGTAGCATGGCTAGGAGGTGTGCCCAAAGCAAGGCTAATGGAGCCTAGTTGATGTGTTGGTAGTGGACTGACTGGCTTGGTATTCAAATTGTGGGGCATATGTACAGCTGCTTTAACAACTCATGTAATTTTCCTGTTTTGAAAAACTAGGAAATTCAATGACTGAGGTGGAGGGAAAAACCCTATGTCGATGCAGGGTTAAAGATGCTGGTAATCTGTCCCCCTGCAGAACACTGAGTTGAGCAAAGCTCAAGTTTCTGTAAGCCAGGAAATGCTTAGTTAAAGTTGCCCGTGCAATGCTGCCAACTGTCAGCAGTGCCTGAATACTCCCTGTTAACACCGTTTGTTCTGCTAGCCCCACAGTTGCTAAAATTGCTGTTTACCTTTTTTTTTCTTTCTTTTCACAACCCAACACTGTTAAAGGGTAAAAACAAAACATGCCATCTCTCTCCACGTTATTTTAATATGGCAGTTTGGATCAGTTAGCAGGCTTTCTGCAACTGACTGCCTCTGCTGACAGAACTGAAATTCAGAGCTTCCTCTACGCAGGGCTAATCAACTTTGGAAGCCCTGGGGGCCACTATGATACTCACAGCACATGTGGAGGGCTGCAACATAAGTGTGTTGCATGCAAATATATATGCAAAATAGCTTCTTTCACACTGATGGGCATGAATACAAAGATTAAGGCAAGACTACACCGCACACAGGCCCCATTTAAGTCAGTTCTGCTATTAACGAAACACAATATTTACTTGATTGCCACTCATGACAGCACTCTTCATGAGCAATGACAGCCCAGGAATTTAACTACTATAATGCACATCAACAGAAGACCATTCTATTGACTACTTTTTTGTTTTAGCTCCCACCTGTGGGCCGCATGTTGAGTAGCCCTGCTCTACTGAATTGTTGCTTGTAGGTTCATCCTTTTTGATGGCTTAGTAGGGTCCAACCAGCTTGTGATCACGTAATTGTCATAGAAGGTTTTGTCATTAAAAACCTGCCATTGCTTACTGCTACTATAAGTGGTGTTTTTAAATAAAATTAGTCTGGTAGCACTTTAAAGACTAACAAATTTAGTAGGGCATAAGTTTGTGAGCATACTGTGATTTTCATCATATCATTAGCCTTTTGGGGCAGTGACATTGTCTAGTCTGTATGTGACATGTATAATACAGTGAGACCTCCAATAGATGGTTCAAGATATGCTGTACAAATCACTTGTTAGGTTAAAAGGGTTTTTTAAAATTTAATCAAATATTCCTGCATTTATCTCCAGTTTGCAACAAACATGGTTTTCACCATTGCATTACTACAGTTCATGAAGATTCAGAGCAATGAAATGAGGATATTTAACCTTTAACTGAATTTCAAGGGCATAAAGGTACATGCTGGGGGGAGGAGGGGAGAGGTGCCAACTCCTGTTGCAAATCAGTGGGAGTTTGGTGCCTAATTGCCCTTTGTGTCTTTGAAAATCTCCCCCCATGGTGCTTTTTAAAGCTGCTGTATTGACAGCTCTTGCGTTCTAAGTCTGTGCAATGGAGATAGGGAATCTACCCTATTGTGATTGAGAAGGATCATCCCTGAAGGTGAACAAGTAAACATTCAATTCTTGGGCTTTCTGCTGAGGCTGCAAACAAGAGTGCCATCTATACATAATGGTTTTAGATCTTGATCTAAAGCTGGATGAAATTGAAGGAAAACACTCCCATTGACAGACTGCAGTGCACACTGGATCGGGCTTTCATTAGGTGCCTCCCTGTACGTGAGATAAAAGTAACCACAACTGTGACCAAAAAATGTATGGATAAACTTTTAGAGGTAAAGAATGCAGGCAAATGGGTAGGTCTTCAAATCAAAACAGGCCAAATATTCTAAGTAGCGCTGTGAGAGTCAACTTCTCAAAGTATCTTACATCAAATTGCCAGACAGGAAATCATATGTATCTCCATAGCATTGTACCACAGTTGAACCTGCATAACTCTTCATACTCTGGACTGTTACTGAGTTGAACCTGCATAACTCTTCATACTCTTGACTGTTACTGTAAAAAAAAAACAAACAAAAAAAAAAGCAAGCAAAAAACCTGCCTCCATGTAGCATATACAGTAAACTTCTGATAATATGGCACCTTTAGGACCCAGGGGGTGCCAGATTATCAGATATGCCGGAGTGCCAGAAGGGGGGCTATGAGGGATCAGGAGAGGGGGTTGGCGGGGAACTGCGCAGTGTGGGAAAGGGCAGTGCTGCGGGACCATCTGGCAGCACTCCAGCTGCTCTGCCCCTGGCTCCCCCTAGTCCACCACTGGTCAGTTTCAGCAGTGGCTGACTTGGGGAATCCGGGGGCAGAGCAGCTGGGGTGCTGCTGGGTTGGTCCTGTGGCACTACCCCTCACCTGAGCAGCGCCGCAGGACCAACCCAGCAGCACTCCAGCTGCTCTGCCCCCGGCTTCCCCAAGTCCGCCGCTGGTCAGTTTCAGCAGCAGCAGCAGACTTGGGGAGTCTGGGAGCAGAGCAGCTCGAATTGTGTGGCTGGCCGGAGCACTTCCGGGTTCCAGTTGGTGCCGGACTATCAGAAGTGCCAGACCGCTGGATGTGGGACAATTGGTGTTTTACTGTACTATGGAACTTTTGATCTCTAGCTCTGAGGCTGTTTAGACTGCATCCCTCTGCCGAGAGAGGGATGCAATCAAGCACTTCAGAAGTGCAAATGAGCCCGGGATTTAAATATCCCAGGATTTATTTGCATACTCACGTTCCGTCGCTGTGTCGATAGTAAAGTGTAGCTGCGGCTCTGCCGACAGTGGGGAGCTTTTTCGGCAGCTCCTGTACTCCTAATTTTTTTTTAATCCTGGCCTCATTTTCACTTCCTAAGTGCTTGATTTGCATCCCTTTCGGCAGAGGGATGCAGTCTAGACCTAGCCTCAGTCTGAGTTGTGAACACTTATTTTAGTGCTTGACAAATCCAATTCCTGAGACATTTTCCCAAAGTAGGAAACTGTTGCAATACATTAGTATTCATAGGAAAGTGAGAAGTGTAGGTGTACACACGGCATATATTTTCTCATCGTGAACTGATTCATACCGCACCAGAGGATGTCACCGAGAACTAACCAAATTAATGATTACACTATTTCACTAGTAACTAACACACTTTAAGGGATAAGAAGCAGAGGGAGATTTAAATGGCAAAAACCAAAAGCTAGGGTGGTATAGGATACACTGAAGTTTTTATTGCCTCTTACTTGGGAAGAGTCTCATAACTAGACTTGTGACTCGGCTAACCATGAGTGATGTTATCCTGAATTTGTGCAATAAAAACTTTATGAAGCCCTGACCTATCATGCAGTCTCTTCTATCCTGTCTTTCCTCATTTGTCATCTGAAGAGGTAGGTTGTGCCCACGAAAGATCATGATACTATACATATTTTTGGTTAGTCTAAGGTGCTACAGGACTTTTTTGGGGGGTTGTTTTTTTGTTTTTAAGTTACAGACTAACATGGCTACCCCTCTGAGACTTCCCCCATCTTGATTGATTGTCGTAAATCTGAATAAACCTAAACTCTGTGTTTAGAATCTTTCCTGTAACTGAAATATTTTTCTGACCTTCAAATTCTTAGATCACTTGTATTTTTCTAAGCGGCAATGCACATTTAGTGGCCTGTAATGTAAGTATATCATTCTACCCTTTGATCATGATGCCCTTGATCAGAGTGGTCTGAGACTGTTTTGCAGGCATTATTGAGGCTCTTAGCTAGACTGCATATTCATCACCTTAAATTACAAAGTCTACCTTTCATTGTGTCTTGTCTTGCTAGTTTTCATATGCTCTCTTTTGTTTGTTAGTCTACAGACCATAAATACCAGTTGAATTTACCTCAACTTTGACTCTCACTGGGTCATTAAATCTCAAATCAGGGAGCTATATACATGCATATGAAGAACTACTTAGTAGGAGAGATGTACTATATTCCAAATATTTAAGACTACTTAAAACAGTGTCATCTTCTCCTCCCTCACCCCCCGCTCCTCCACTAAAAATGTCATGTAAAGGACCCTCTCTCTCTACAGAAAAGTAACCAGCATCTTGCTGGGACAATAGGATTTATGTATAGAACCTTGATACTGGTGAAACTGGCCATTTGCCTGTGACTAGAAGATGTGCTGTCATCTCTATCTGTGTCCATTTATTTTGGTTGTATGTAGAAGAAAAATCTATAATATTCTCTGAATGCTTTTGTTGCAGTTTGTATTTTGAAAAACTAATGACCTACATAAAATGAGACCAAAATCAAGTTCCTTGAAGAAAATGGCTGAAGTTTTATTATTTGATTGACAATAGTAAAAGACTTTACACTCAAAATCACGATTAACATTTTTGTCGTTTTGTTTTTTTGTATGTGTGCACAGAAACTGTGTGAAGGAATCTTAAACATCCTTGAAAAAGACCTAAAAACTTCATGTCAAGTTGCCTGTCTTGAAGCCCTTCGGATTCTCTCCAGAGATAAGAAGGTTTTAGTGCCTGTGACAACTAAGGAAAACATGCAGATCCTGATGAAGCTGGCAAAGCTGGACATGACAGAAGATTCTTTGGAGGATGTGTCCAATTTCCCTGTTATAGTGGAAGCTTTGAAATGCCTTTGTAACATAGTTTTTAATAGTGCCCTTGCACAGAAGCTCAGTTTGGAACTGAACCTTGCAGCTATGCTTTGCAATCTACTGAGAAAATGCAAGGACCAACACCTTGTCGATGACATTAAATGTTTTGATTTGCGCCTTCTCTTCCTCCTGTCACTTCTGCACACAGATATTAGGTCACAGTTGCATCATGAGCTACAAGGGTTGCAGGTTTTGACTCAAGCTTTGGAAAGTTCTTTTAGCATAAGATGGACAGACAAGTACAAAGCTGCTGAAGAACATGTTGGATGTCCTTTATCGCTGCAAGAAACAGATTGTGCCATTGAGGCACTCAAAGCTCTCTTTAATGTGACACTTGACAGTTGGAATGTCCACAGTGAGGTAAGGTCTGAACTGAAATTCTTTAATTTGGGCTTATTTTTGTCTGCAAGAACATAACCACCACATAGTTACATTGGAAAAGCAGTTACTCAGACATCAGAGCTGGGTGTTCCCTTATTTAGGACAGTTTCAGTTGTTGGAATATCTTTAGAAACACAGAAGTTTCATCTCAGAACTTTACCTTTGGACAAACCAAAGAAGCCTGTCTGAACTGAAAAACGGTTTGTGCTAAGGGAGCATAATAAGGAAAAGGGAAATACTGTTGTATTGGGTCACTCTATTTTATATCGTACAAGTGTTTAGATCTCTTCCAAGCTTAGGGATTTTATTTTGTGCTTCAAGATAAAGCTTTTATGGTAACTTATTTGCCAAAGGTTTCCAAAGCCAAATAGTACTTGAGTAAAAGCTGTTTTCTCTAGTTCTAAACTGTAACATTCCCCAAAGGATCCTTGTGAAGCAGAGTTCTGTTTCATTCTTTGTAATGATCTGGAAAACAATACACTAATTAAGTGTGCTGGAGACGCAGCATTAGATGTTACCATCAGGCAGGATGGAAAAATATAAAGATCTGAAGAGTTTATTCCCATGAGCAGGAAATGAGATTCAATTTGGAAAAATTCCTATCCGAAATAGCAATTTTCAATGTCAAGAGAATTTCAAAGTAGCAGTTGGAAAATACAGTTAATATTGAGTGGTGACTCTGAGGTTGCGGTAGTGGTCCAACATTTGTTACAGTAGTACCTACGGCCCAATGAAAATTGGTCTCCATTGTGTTGTACAATACTTGAAACCTTCAGTACCAATAGAAACTAACAGTCAAAGAAAATATCTGTTATCTGTCCCCTTCTCTGTGTGTACAACTAAACGATCACGTTGCTTATTGACACACTTCTTAATTTATAGACTTTGTTGCTGCTGTTTGGGCCTCTTTTTGGAGGGATGAGTGGGGGAAGGTCATCTTAAAAAATAGGCCAGCAGTAGGGTTGAGCAACAATGAGAAGAATGGACATGTTAAATAAAGGAGAGGAAAAGGATCAAAGGGAAAAGAGAAGGAAAGAATTTTGAGTGCAGGAGGAATTGCGACATGCTTAAAAATACTGAAGGAAGGAAATGAGTGGTAGGAGTTTGGTTGTAATTTGGGCCTTGCTTGTATTCCTCTGCCTATGGGGCCTGATCTGCTGTGCATGTTTAGTGCTTGCCTCCCAGATTGCCCCTTCTAGATGATATTTTACATGAAACAGCGGGGAAGAGGACCTTCAACATCATAACTTTTAGCCCATTGGTCTAAATATAAGAGACCATGGGTTCAAGTTCCCCTTCCACCTGAAGAGACTAAGTATTCAGCAAGGATTTGCCACTTCTCAGGTGAATGCACTAACCAGTGGGAGCCCACATCAGATGATCCCTCTATTTCACCTGCTGAATCTGTTCCACTGTCTATAATTAGTCACTGGATCCTGGATCTCACACTTCCCAGTCGGTTTCAAACTATCATTTGTTCTCTTGCTAGCCCAATATTCTTTCACTCTTTATGTGCAATACAACAATTTCAGCATCAGAGATTGAGGGAGCCTCACATCAGAATATTTCCCTATCTGGTTAATAAAGGAGTTGAATCGTGGATGAGGGATATTCTCCTACTCCCCTGTGCAGATTCTAGCAAAAATGGCGCATGTTCCTGTGCCAAGAGAAAGTTGGCAGCAGAGAGCGAAGCAAAGGGAGATGCCTCCCCTCCCATTCTCCGCCGGCATATCAGACAGAGTTGGTCTACACTACAGCTGTAAGTCAACCTAAGCTATGCTACATGAATTGGATAACTCAAGTTGACTTACAGCACTGTCTACGCTATATGTCAATAGGAGATGCTTTCCCGCCAACTTACCTTACTCTTCTCAGGGACCTGAAGCACAGGAGTCTACCAGAGAGTGCTCTGCCATTGATTTAGCAGGTCTTCACCAGACCTGCTAAATTTACACCATTGCATCTATTGCAGTAGTGCTGATCTAGCCGTAAGTATAGATATGCCCTGAAAGGCCAAACTCCATAAGAGGGCAGGGCTTACAACTAATTCTCTGCATGATATTTCCCAAGGGGAAACATTACAATGTACTGGCTTTTGAGAGTCCTATTCTGAGGCACCTGTCTATCTCCACTCATTGTATAGGGAGTCTAGGTTTAGAGCTAAGGCTTTGGGAGCCCTGTCTTTTTTTTTTTTTTTTTTTTTTTTTTTGTGGGAGGGAAGGGGAGGGTTGGGTTTTTTAAGGTGCATAAAGTTTGTATCAATCCCAAATCTCCTAGAGCAAATAATGGGAATAGATTCACCTAAAATTAGACTCTACCAAGTATTCAGATTGGACTCTGAAAGAGCAATCTTCTATTGGTAGGAAATGGAAAATACTTTAAAACTAGATTATATGATCTAATATTTCTATTATTCTAGTGACCTGAAACCCTCATTTACAATCGTCAAAATGAAAAATCTTCATAATTTATATTTATATAGAATGAATCTCATCAATTTCGTTATATGGCTGCCATCCTTCGCCACTGCTTATTAACCATGGGCCCTACTGAAGACAAAACAGAAGAATTGCACAGGTTGGTTGATTTAACAGAAACAATATATGTTTGAGGGTTAACTTTTTAGTTAGAGCAGTGGTTCTCAATTGCACAAATGTTCCGGGGGTACATGAACCTATCTGCTTATTTTGCCTGATTTTATGATAGGCTACATAAAAAGCAATAGAAAAGTTGGTACAAACTAAAATTTCATAGTTGTTTATACTGTTCTATATATGAGATGCTGAAATGTAAATAAATAAATAAATATTCCAATTGTTAATTATATGGTAAATAAGAAAGTACACATGGTTTTCAGTAACTGTGTTCTGTGATGCTTCTGTATTTTTTGTGTTAATTTTGTAAGTAAGCACTTAAAGGTGAAACTTCAGGGAGAGAGGGAGGTATGCTAGACAAATGAGACTCCTGAAAGGAGGACGGTAGTCTGGAAAGGTTGAGAGCCACTGAGAGTGAGTGAGTGGCCATTGTCCCCTCAACCGCCCCCCCCCAATCCCTAAACTGTATAATCTTAAGTAAGACTGAAATGTAAATATGTACTTGTGGAAATATTGATAATTATTTACAGGAATTCTAGCTATAGCACTCCTGGAAGTTATCTTTAACTGTCCTCACAAATCAGTTAGAAATATTGTCTAACTTTTACAAAATTGATCCACTAGTTTGGAACTGTTTAGCTGATGATCTAGGTCACCATTAGCCCAGCATTTCTGCACTGGTATTCTAAAGATGCTAGTGCTATTTTACATATGTAAAAGTCTAACTTGTCAGAGGGTGAATCAATTACAATAAATTCATGCTCTTGGATCTGTGCTCCTGCATATGGCTGGGTTTGTAATGGTTAAAATTCTAAATTGCCTTCTCAGCTTAAGGCACCTATGCACAGTCCTATTACTTATGTATAAATGCCATTAAACTGCCTTAGTTATCAGGTCATCTTCCTGAAGAGTCTGCAGCTGCCTTGAATCTTGCTTTTGACTCCATAAGGAATTTTATAAAATGGTTTGTTTTTTCACCAATTTCCCTTGAATTGTTGACTGCAAGTTAAGCACAAAAAAAATCAAGTTATTTTGGTAAGAGTCTCACTTCTGTGCAGTTAGAATTTCTAGCTTTTTATTTGGGGTATTTTATATTGGTCTTCCTCCATGTAATAGGCATCTACAGACACATGAGCCCAAGCAGCTACAAATACTGCCTCCAAGTTGTCTGACAGGCAACACTAGTGTTGCCTATTTCAACTTGAAAAAGCCATACTTCTAGCTACAAAAATCTTCTGGAGACATTGCTTTAACTTAACAGTTCTTAGAAGAATGCTATAGGTTCCACCACCTTAAAGCTATCACTAAGTTTGAAAGCTACCAAAAGCCACGGGATCAGTGGAAATCTAGATCCTGCATCAGAGCCACACCTCAGTCGGTGCAGATTAGTCTGGGATTATTCAAGACACCTCTGCAATGAATGCCTAAGTACCATGTTGTTAAAGATAGTGTTGAATGTGCACTAACGGGTAGTAGTCTTCCTTGGACTTTTGTTCTCACCTTCCTCTTAAGTGTAAGTGTGCGTGTGAGTGAGCGAGAATGAATTAGTGGATTGTTTTTGGGAGATGCTACTACTGGAGGCAAGTCTCAGGGGGCAGCCATGTTGGTATGTAGCTGTAAAAACAACAAGCAGTCCTATGGCACCTTGGAGACAAACACATTTATTAGGTCATACTATTGGAGAGAGATATTTGAAGAGATGTCTTTGCATTAAGACTAGTGCTTTGTTAGGGGTAGCTTGTGTCTGATCTCGTCTGGTAAAACTAGAAACCCTGTTTTTGGAATGCTCTGTTTCCTGCACACAAGAGTCTAGGACCAATCTACCTGTATCCCCTCTCAGCATAGCCATCTGGGACTGTTGCTGTCTTGCTTTGTTGTAAATGGATAGGTACAATGTGATGTACTTTAGTCCCAGCCTGTTAGTCTGGATCTATGATGCACTTAACTTAAAATTGAATCTGAAATAGACACTCAGCCATGAGTGAGCAGAGAATTAGTGAGATTTGTTCACATCTGCCTTTGTCGGTTTTAATGCATGCTGTTGGCTAGATCTGGTACATGGCTTAGGGGAGTATAGGCCACTACAGCAGGGCAGGAGCTCCTCCGCTTTCCAAGCTCCTCCGCTTTCCAGGTTCTGTGCCCTGATCACCTCCTGGACCGAGAATGTGGCTGCAGTAGCTTATCCCCATCTCTCTGGGGAAAACAGCCTTCTACTGCTTCCAGTTAATGTAGTTAATCCTGTAGCTCAAGCAATAGTAGGTTGTGCTGTAGTACTGAACTGTTCAAATCCTACTGATTATGCATGATGTGAAGAGGGGTGATTTGTTTATAGCTGTATATAACAGCATTTGTCTTTAAAAACAAACAAGCAAACAAAAAAACCCACAACCTAACAAGTTTCATACAAAATGTTAGAACATTATTTAGATTACAAAGTCAGGCACTAGAAAATCTGGAAATAGCCCCCTTAAGACTGCCCTGCAGCACCTCAGTTCTGTCCCATTGTACATACGCATTGTGGTAGTCTTTAATTATAGCAGGGATGGGGTACCTAAGGCCCAAGGGCTACAGGTGGTCCCCGGCTTGCCTGGATCTGGCTCTTAGGGCTCAGGGCTCTTCCATTCCTCCCCTGTATTATGGAGCCCATGCTGGCACTCCAGCTCTTGCCAGGTTGTTCCCCCCCCCCCCCCCCCCTGTGGATCAGCAGTCCCCAAATTATAAAGTTACATGCTGCCTTTTTCCCCCCACCCAATAGGATCTCATTTAGTATACAGACTGGAAGCCAAGGGGGCAAAATTAAGACTTCATAAGCAACCATGAATGTGGTATTTCCTAACTTAAATGTTTATGTAATAACTTAGTGCATATGAATAAGGCAGTTTTGAAGTTGGGGTAGCTTTAGGCCTGGGGGATTCACCTCATAAGCCTCAAGGGGGGGTTGAATGCCACATTGATCCCCTATAGGTATAGCTGTAAGTAAACACAAATGTTACTTTCCAAATCTGTTTCAGTTAATTCTGTATTTTTACTCCTCTAACTTCTGGTAGTACTGTTCAGCCATAAAAAGAATGAACTGGATTATTTTTAGGTTTGTTTCAGCAACAGAACTCCACTGCAATTGACTAAAGTTATAGAATCTTTATTGCTGGACATGAGGCACAAAACAGACAGAACGGAGCTTGCCTTTCAGAATCCAGATTTCGGATGGCTTCCGCAGAGCTGACAGTTCCAAAAAGTATCTCTTCCCTTGAAAACTGGGCAAACTTTGTGCAGCCTTTTTGAAGCACAAACTTTATCACTCTTCACCGTATAAACCACACTTTCAGCTAACTCCCACTTTTAGAAAGTGTGTGTGTGGCTTTTTTTTAAGGATGTATAAATCCCACATTTGGAGACTTAGGTACCTATTATAGGTGTGTAAGATTCAAACTTTAATACCTAAGGAGCCCTTGTATGAAACTTTGGGCTCAAAATAAACTTGAGGATTTATTTTATACTGACACCAAATGCTGAATGCATGCCCTGAACTATGGCTTGGTTAGCTTCCTCATCATGAGTGCTAATCAGTTTGACTTCAGTAATTGCAAGTTTTTCCATAGGAAATACCTTAACTAGCTTAGCGGGGGAAAAAAATACAGATACTATTAATGTGATTGTCATGTCTTAACACTTGAATATGAGCCACTTAATGCACCAAATAGTAGAGCAAGTGCCATTTTTGCCCTCTTAACAAGGTTTTAATCAAGGCATTCAGCTGTGCTAAACAGTCCTGGCTTTTGAATTTGCATATCAGGAGGGGGCTGGGAGTATGAGTGGGTGGACGTCATGTCCCAGTGATTAATGATCTCTAGGAAGTAGAAAGGGGCGAGTAATATACGCAGTATTTCTACCCCCTGGAGTAGGAATGCAAACGCTATTGTGCAGATCTGTGCAGTCACTGAGTTCCTGGTAGCTAGAGAATTCATACACTCCTCTACCACAAATAAAACTGTCAGTGAAGTGACAAAGATCAGAAAGCTGGGCTTCATTTATTGAAAAGAATAGCTTAGGCACAGTGATCCAGAAAATTAATTTTGTAGGTGTTTGGGAACTGAGTTGTTTAATAAGAAACGAGTAAAAAGGGTTGTTTCTTTGAAAAGGCTGAAGCCACCAAATATTTGTTGAATAGAATTGTTTTATTACTGTATGAATTGTCAAACTGGATACTTTTAGATTGTATTCCTTTCCTTTAAAACATCAAGCAAAGACAGTTGAAATTTGTTGATAGTTGTTTTAGAGAGCTAATGCAGTGTCCTTTTACCCACAGTATCTACTGTGGCTGCAACAAAATTAGTTTCTAGTGTAAATTCACCCCAATATTCTCTGATTATTTGAAAGTCTTAGACTAGGTCTGGGAACCTTTTTTGGGCCAGAGGCCATTGACCCAGAGAGAAATCAGTCGGAGGTTGCACACAAGTGAAGTGCAAAAAAACCCTCACGGGCTTGGCCCCTGGCTGAGGAGGATGAAGACACTCCTCACCTCCTCTCACACCAGAGTTTAGGGGCGCCCAGCCTAGTAGATTGTATGCTCCAATGCTGGGCGGGGGGGAGGCCTTGAGCCTTGGGGACTAGATCCAAGCAAGCCAGGGTCACATTCAAGCCCCCAGGCCTGAGGTACCCTATCCCTGTATTAAATTAATTTTGCATTAGAACCAAATTGCAAGATATGGGGGGTGGGGGGAAGGAGCGGCAGTAACGCCTAGCTAGACTTTTTTTTTTAAATGCAACTTCAAATAGAAAGACTTCTGAAAACTTTGAGGAGTCTGAGACTAAGATCAGTCACTACTTGCTCATTACAAATATTATTCTTGAAAAGCCTATATGGGTGCATCTACACTACCAAAAAAAAAATCCTTGGCAGTGAGTCTCAGCCCAGACTCTGGCTGGTGGTCTGCTCAAGCTCTTAAACTCATTCTTTTCCTATGTGTCAGAGCCTGAGCTCCA